CTTTAGTCTCTGAATTCTGACTTTAATCTCAGAATTCTGTCTTTAATCTCTGAATTCTGTCTTTAATCTCTGAATTCTGTCTTTAATCTCTGAAATGTCTTTAGTCTCTGAATTCTGACTTTAATCTCAGAATTCTGTCTTTAATCTCTGAATTCTGTCTTTAATCTCTGAATTCTGACTTTAATCTCTGAAATTTCTTTAGTCTCTGAATTCTGACTTTAATCTCAGAATTCTGACTTTAATCTCAGAATTCTTTCTTTAATCTCTGAATGTCTTTAATCTCTGAATTCTGTCTTTAATCTCTGAATTCTGACTTTAATATCTGAATTCTGACTTTTTTTCTCTGTAATCTGTCTTTAATCTCTGAATTCTGTCTCTAATCTCAGAATTCTGACGGAATTCTGACAGCTTACAAGCATGTCAGCATCAAGCCATAGCCATGTCTGTTTCAGAGACTAGCTCTCTCATTTCAACCACCTTCTGCTCTTCCATTAATGAAATAACATCACCGGGGACCCCTCAGGCACGTAAAAAGTTGCCTAATTCACTAAATCTGTGCTAGTGAGCACTTATCCTTTGCAGGGATATTCCATTCCACCTTGCTAGTGTGGCATATCAAGATGCTGATTAGGAAGCACAGTTATTGCATGGGTTTTGTCTTAGGCTGCTACTTTGAAAGACCAGGCTTGGATGTGCCATTTTGCTTAATTTGGGGTCTGATCAACTCCATGTAAATGAGACTCTGTGTGAGACAAATGGTGGACACATCAGATAGTGACTGGTCTTCAGACCAGTCAGTATCTTGTGAATATAAAATCTTTTAGGCATTCCAAAAAAGTAAAAAGTAAAAAAAAAACAAAAAACACTGGACTTTGTCTCCAAATTTGAAGACATTTCACTTTCCATCCAGGAAGCTTTTTCAATTCAAAATGTCAGAAATAGCTTTGAGTTCAAGGTGTAGCAGGAAGAAGCCTGCCCCAATATTCAGAACACCTGACCCCCTAATTACCTCATGATTGCTGGAGAGTATAAAGGGAAACTCTCTCACCTGGTTGCTTATGCTGGCATTTGGTCACACGCCGTTGGGAAGGTCACTTGGAAAGCATGCAGGTCTTAAGCTCTAACATCAAAACCACTGAAAGTCTGCTGCTTTGTACCGGGGCTGTGGCTGTAATTCACTCTCCCCAGTGCAGTTATCACATGAAACGGAATGTATTGGAAAGCTGATCGTCCTGCTGTGGGCTGAAAAGGATCCTCTGATTTGAGGTGAAGTCATCCAACTCTGCTCTAAAGCTGCGGCAGCTTGCTGGAGACCCTGCTGTTTTGCTTCCCTGTTTTCTTTTCATTTTTTTTTTTTGTTTAGTTTATCTGGTTCATTGGTTGGTATTTCCTTTTGAACATTCTATTTTGTGTGGCCCCCAGTTTTGTTGCAGGTAGCAACCAGGGGTTCTTTTAGACTATTCTATTAAAGCATTGATTTTAATTGGTTATGTTGGAGATAACCTCATTTTAGTCTTTGGCCAAGTTTAAACTGTAATATTTTTTTTTTTTTTTTTTTTTGTATTTGCTTGTTTATCCCCACCCTTTTGTCTCCAGGCTGAGTGCTGACGGTAGTGGGAGGGGCCTCCTGGGAGACTGGAACTGTGTGTCATGTGAGGGGCCGTTGGGATTTTTTTTTTTTATTATTCACGATTGAATGTCTGCTCACAAGTGGTTTGAGTTCAGCTCTTTAAACTAAGAGCAACATGAAAGGTCTTTTAATAAAGTCTATTTCTTAATTCAACAAATTAAGAAGCTAAGAAAGACTCAAAATGGGTCCATGAAATACATACATTTCAGGTTTTAATCCAACAAATTGTGAAACAGTTGAAGTTAAAAATAAAACTTTGTCAATACAATGTATGTCCTCATGCATAACCCTTTTCAACTCAATCTTCCTTCAGTGTTTATCTTGGCTGATTATTATAATCCTTGAGAGTTAATTTCAGGAATGCAAAGATCTACAGCATATAACCTTAATGGTGAAATTTGCTTAATTAAAGATGCCTTTTAGTGTTTAGAGCCTCCGAACTCTAATACTCTTTGAATATAAGCAACACAGCATTTTTGTATTTTTATGTTAAAATCTTCATATCCAAGTACATTAAACATTAAGTTGGAGTAACCACGGTGCAAGATTAGCCTGGTATAGCAGCTGCCCCAGTGTTTCAATTCAAATACGAACAAAAAGCTGGAAAGACGCATGATGTCAGTTTTGTTTTAGGCACAGAGTCATTTTAGCTTATAAGGTGTTTCACAAGCCCTACTCAGGTATGCATTTGTCTACCTACTCTATATTAACAGTCTGATTGGATCACCAAACTCCAAATCATCAATTTCCATGGCAACACCAAGGTATGCTGACACAAATATTTGTGATAGAATGGGTCGCTCTGATTGGTTCAGAGGAATCCAGTGTTGCACAGTGATAGGATGTCATCAGTGTAATAGAGCATTTCAAAATCACAGAGCAGGTCAGTTTTGGTTTGGCTTTGGTAGCAGAGGACATAATGGGTCAGTGTTTCAACAGATCCTTCCTTCTGCTGAATAGAAACTGATTACTTCATGTGCTCTTCTTTCTGAAAATAGATTCAGGATGATACCTTCCTGTTCCAACATGACTGAGCACAAGATCACATAGCAAGGTCCATAAAGACCCGGGTGAGAGAGCTGGGTTTGCAAGAACTTGACTGGCCTGGACAGAGTAACCAGTCAAATACCTTTGGGTTGATTTACAGAGGTGGCATCATGTTTAGGATGTGACACAAGTTGATATGAGAATAAAGGGAGATAAATGGAGTCTTTATTGAAGAGCTCATCTCTATAATCTCCTATGCTCTTTTCTGTTCACTGCAAATCATTAGCACTATATAAAGTCTCAATTTTACAGTCCTTCAAGGAATAACAAAAAAAATTAAAAAGGAATGATTCAGTGTCTAAATTTCTCACCTCCTCAGCCTTCTTCATGACTCGGAGGAGGTTTTCTCCAAGAGCAGCTTTAACTTCCTGATCAGTCCAGCCTCTCCTCAGAAGCTCAGCCACCAGATGAGGATATTTGGATACGTCCTCCAAACCCTCAGGAACCCTGACACAATGGCGTTTCAGAAAAAAAAAAAATGCTTCAATGCTTACTGGTTTACCTTTATGGTTTTATGTTTCATCTTTCTCTGCTTTAAAACAAAGATAGCTTAACTTTAAATTGATATTTTTTTCAATTGATATCTCCTGTATTGATTAAGATTTCAGGTGGAAGTCATAACGTTTTCTATAATTAAATCAAATTTCATCTTCCCTCATTCTAACTGTGTTTATGTAATACCTTGGAACTTGCTAAAAAACCTTTGATGACTAAAAATCCCATCATGCCTTGAAGCAGCACTCACCTGGTGACTCCATCATAATCCCCACCAAAACCAACAATTCCTGCACCACCAACCTTCTTGATATGGTCAAAGTGATCTGCAATGAAAGCAGTAAACTTTACTTTAAAGTGGGGAAAAGAATCTCAGTTTGCTTTTAAAGTAGACGATAAATGTTGTGATTTAACTAGTTTTCGAGCTGCTGCTATGGGCAGAATAGTGATTTACCAGCAACATCTGAGAGGCTGGCCGTCTTGCTACACGTGACGTAGTCATTGTAGAAGTTCACCATCACAACGCCTTCGGTTTCAGCCTAGAGTCACAGAAAGATGTTTCAATGGAAAACAGAAGCTACAGTGTCTATAGAGGGAACAATGTCAAATGAGATTTAAAACTCTGTAGAGATGATAGAAGGATCCAAACCAGGGTAAACAAAAAGACCAATAAATTAAAAGGTTTGCACCTTCTATCTGTGTAATATTTTAAAGTTTAGATTATAATGTGTATCCTCGCTTTACTGACTTCAGTAAAATGCATTACATGGGCTAAATTGTTTTATTAGGCTTTCTTTTGCATCTGATGCCCAGCTTATGCATAAAGCTAGAAATAAACAACTACTGGGAAACATAGTTAAAAGCTGTTTTCTGATAAAGTAGAAAAACCATGACTTCAGAACCTTTTCGCAGTAATCCGAGAGCTGATGTTAAAGGGTGTAAATGGACCTGATGTGTTTGTGTAGGTATGCATATGTACGTTCACATGTATGTATGTAAATGTAAATATATATATATA